CAGGTCCTGGAGCCTTCTCATCACTGTGCATGCTCGGCAGCTTTGCCATCAGGAAGGAAGGGGATTTTGCTAATCCAGGGAGGACAGGAAGAACATGATGAGCAGGACACCCTTCTCAGGCTCCACCCAACCATTTGCCAATTTTTCTTTTGTCTGAGTATGTTTCATTCCAGGGGACTTCAGCATATTTTAAAAATTGTATAGAAGGGCATATGCAAGTCTTCAGAGGCCCATCCAGACTTCCCAGGCTTGCAAAACAAAGCTGTAAGGTCGTGAAGGATCCCGCACTGAAAATTTCCTGCCAAACTTAATATCAAACATCCCAGTATTCAAAGGAAAAATTCAAACAGGCATAGGAGGAAGGCAAAAGGGAGAGTACCAGCTTTGAATCATCATCACTGAAATCCTTGCTGTACCATAAGAAATGCATAAGTTCCTAATCCAGCAATGGATCACAGCAGACAGCTACTGCAATTGCCAGCAAGCATGTTTCACACCTACCTCATTAATGGAAACTGATCACATTTTACCTGATCTGATTTGCTCACCTATAGGCAAGGAGTCCATCAGCTGAAACAACATGTTCTTGCATTCACTGTGGTAGCACTTCTCTCTTTGTGGGTAACGTACTAGTTTTCCACATTGAGGCCAAGCAGTTCCTGATGGTCAGAGTGCAACAGTGGAATGATGCCATTGGATATTATTATCTAGAGACTGGTTAATCTCTAATCCTTTCAGAGAAGGACAAAAGAAAGAGTGGCTAGAACCAGAACCAAATAAATTAGAGAGGCATTCTCTGTCCTAATGGTAAATGTTAAAATAACACCCAAGAGAAGCAATGCCTTTTTCCTCTTTTGAGATCTTTGTGGATTTTTGGACCTCCCCTTCCAAAAGAAATGATAATAATAATAAAAATCCACAAACCATAATCTCCAGCAAAATTGCGAGACAAAGAGGTAGAAATGGAACCCTATACAGAATTGTCCGATTAATTTGGGCCATTAACGGTTTCTGTGATGGTCCATGGAGGGACTGAAGCCCACAGCTGATTGAAGCTACTCAGTCCTTTCAGGTTAGCAACCCCAGCAGTTCAGCACTGCTGTTCTTCCAAACCTTGGGAACAGCAACTATTTTGAGATGCAAAGGAAAAGGCAATGGCTTTGGTAGGGGAGAAGATACACAGAATGATGCACAAAGTCTTCGGTATAGGTTAAAATCAGGAGGGCAAGAATCCCCAAGTCCAGAGAGGATCAAAGGAGAGCGCTACACAAAGCGTGGAGGTGGGAAAGGGTGGCACTGAACTTCACTTCTCAAAGCATACATTCCCTCCCCAGGAAAGGGCACAAGCTGTGGTCCAAGGTCAGCTGTGTCTGAGCTGAACAAACACGGGGCACTTCCTGGTGCCCCATGCAAAAACAGAAGTAAAGTAACCTGAAGTGAGGGCAGAAGAGAGCCAAGGAAGTGATACAAAAGCCAGAAACCTTCACCTTCCAGCAAGAGGCTTTAGGGTTGACTCATTCAATCTGCCAGAAAGACAACAAAAAGTGCCTGGTAACACCTTATAACATACGTTTGTGCCATGGATGGTATGAAATGAAAGATCTCTCTAACTTATGGGAAAAAAAGATATTGCAAACACAAGCTGGAGACTGAAGCAAGAAATTCAAATAGATATTTTCATTTCTAAAAGTGAATATGAAGTCAGCTCTCAAATGAAGTACGCAGCAGGTAGGCTTTCCTCTCTACAGTCGTCATAGCAAGGCAGATACCTTCCTGGCAGACAAATCAAGAGCCTGCAAAGTAACGAGCCTAGCATGAGTCTGCATGAAGGTCAATGGCCTCTGACCAGTCAGCGCAGCCAAAACATTACCCAGCATAGGTGCAGTGAAGTCAAAGCCACAACTGCAGAAGAAATCACCAGTGACAGTCTATGGAGACTGGAAAACCGCACGCATGTGCGAAGGCTACAATAAATACAAGGTGATCAGAGGGAGAAGCAGCAAAGTCTCCTGATCATTTTCAAGAAGGCGCATAGGCAAGAAAAGAAGCTGGTTGGAAATTCAGTGTCATTTTCAGTTTGGCTTTTATTTTCATTGACTTCAACAACAAGGTGTTCCAAAACACACACAAGTCCTGGTGCAGGCAACACTGTCATTGCTACAAGCATTGGCAGATTCTCAGCTCAATTAACCCATATGCTTTGATGTATCAAAACAAAAATCACAGCTCTACAGAGGAGGGTAAAAGCTACAGCAGTTCAAACTCACTTGAAGATTCCAGTTACACAGAAGTGGGCTCCATAGTGGTGCACAGTAGAAAGAACATTTTTCACAGCATAAATTTTAATCATTAATGATGTAGCAGAAAAGCTCCATCTCGCTGCTGAGTTAAAAAAGCAGATACCAAAGTTCTTGTGCCCCAACTTCGGGCACAGCATTAACTGTATCAACCTTTATAGTCAAAAGCTTCCTAGTTCCTAAAAATGAAAGTATTTTTGAATCAATTTTCATACAATAGTGAAGCAGCTCGGAAGGATTACACAATGGAAATGCAAAACCATGAAGGTGAGGAGAGCACAACCTAGGTCACCTCCAAGAATTTGCAAAGTAGCCACACTAAGACTTTCCCCACACTAACACTGCCCCACTGAATTAATTCTTGCATTGAGTCAAGAGCAGGATGATGTGCTTCTTTTGTAGCATAGTAGAAAAAAAAATAGCAGTAAGTTTTCACACTGAGCATGTTAAATACTTTGAAATCTAGGACGCTGCTCTTTGAAGTGTTACAAAATAAATGATAAAACAGGCTTTCAGTCCCTGTTCCCTCCCCCCTCAACTGCAAAGTAACACAGGAATCTCAGTATGAAAAATACAAATATATTTGTCCAGTGGCGAGTCATTTGTTACAAGGTATACTGTAAGCGTTTTGCATAAAAATAATAATTAAAAAAAACAGAAAAACAAACAACATTTTATTGTGGTTCTGGCAGACCCGGTATCCCAAGAAGAAATAAAAATTGTCATGTTATGCTCTAGGAAACAAAAATTACACATACAAAAAAAAATATATATATATATACACACACACACTTTACAGGGTAACCATCTTGCATCACCATTCTGGGCTATCCAAAATTGGCTTGCACAGTTACCGAAAGGCAGTCATTGAATGCATCTTAGACCTAGGACAATGGACAGATGTGCAGATGAAGCAGGATACTAACAATACCTTGCTTAAATGAAATATGTGACACAGCAGGGCCCAGAAAACAGCTGTTGCACTGAAAAGAAATCATTTGTTTGTAGCAAGGTAGGATGGCAACTCATTTAAAAAGCTGCTTTTGTCATCTTTCCCCAGTCAAAAAAAAATCTAAAAATCCAGGCTTACTGTTAAAAAGAGAAAGCCAAGTTGAAAGCAGTTTTGCTCCTCAGTTTGGATCTGTTTCTACATCTTAGCGTCTCACTGCTGTGGGAAACGTGGAAACATGCACTCCGCTCCGTTACTTGCCTGCAGTATGACTGGCAATCACAGAGGAAATGCCTCAGAGCCCAACTGCTGTTTAACCAATGAAGAAAAAACAGAAAAGTTTTAAATTTTTAATGTAAACAAGACTTTTTGCAGTAGTAACACTCATACCTCCAGGAACCTTTTAAAAGTACTTGTTCCAAGGCAGTCTGTGGGAAACATTTTTTTTTTTTTTTTTTTTTTTTACTCTCTGCTTCTACTTCCTCATCACATAGTCTACAGTCACCAGCAACAAAATGCAACAGACGTCAGTCTGTTAGAGATGCATCTAAAGATGGCTCTACTTTCCTTGGCACAAACCATTCTAACATGGTCT